ATTAAATTCCAAGAAAATGAAATGCCCCCCAAAAAGTAACATTTAATGATTTAGTTGCAAGTGAATTTTAAGACGCAAAAAGAAATATAAAAAGGGCATAAAAACAAATGCAGGAACTAAAAATTTCAAGACAAAAAGTCTGAAACTAAATTAAAATTGGAGGAAAATATATATTCATGCACAATGTAAAAAGGCTGCAGCCATCTTCACAGGTTTGGCTTGCTCCAGCGCCCCCCTACCGCCCCCTTCTGCTCCAGCGCCCCCACGCCGCCCCTTTTCGTTCTACCGCCCCCCTGAAAAATGAAATCGCCCCATGGGGGGCATTATCGCCCACGTTAAGAACCACTGGTCTAGAGTGTCACCACCCCAGCAGGCACCCACTTAAGAGGCAGTGCCAGGTGGAAGCAGGGAAGTCAGGACATGGCTTCCAAGTGGGTGCACTCCTGAGGGGCCAGGGAGCCAACCCACAGAACACCTATTTCACTATTCGTCAAACCGGCATGGACAGTCAAATCAGTGCTTTGGGCCCATCTCTACCTATAAATAATAAAATGAGAGAAACTACTATTATGCTATGATATTAAAATCAAAACACTGGCAAACACAAAGCCATACCTAGATATAGATAAAGTAAGACAGCTCAATATTGGCAGGGTTTTGAAGTAGTTGAGAAATGAGCGGATAGCCAGTAAGCATTTTATTTTAAAAATCTGATTTAAATCAAAAAATCCAATTTGAGTTTTAAAAATCCAATTTTTATTTTAAAATTTAAATTGGATTTTTAAAAAATAAAATGTTTATTGGCTAGTGATTTAAACTGACTTGATTTAAATTGAATCCATCCTGGTTGTGAAGTTATACTGAATGCCAGTTCTGATATCTCTTCTCTTTAGCAGCTACTTCAAGACTTCAATTTAAATTAATAATATACACATACACAAGATGCAAAAAGCCACTGAAAAGATGTTCAGGCATTCATGCCCCCACCCATCCTTTATACAGATGCAGCACACAACCACAACCCAAATCACTCTTATGATTCAAGAGAGATAAGATCTCTCTACAGCATCACAGAGCACTGAAATAACCAGAACTACTTAGTAACAAGATCAGCCCCTGACCGCTGGGGATGTTGCATACAGTATTCTAAAATATTTACCAGGTCAATTATACCCAAAGTAAAAAGTTACTGAGAAATGAAGCCAAATGCTTAAAAGAAAATGCTGAATGGTGCAGAGATTAGAAGTGATTTATATCAACTTTTTCTCAAAATGTTTATTATACAGGCAATCCCCAACACTCTTATTACACCTATTATTACACTTTTATCTCCTCCTCCTCTCCTAGTCTGTCTTCTTCAGTCTCAGCACCAGCACCGCTAATGGAACTTAATACCAAACCCAGTGCTTCTCCATCACGCACGTCCCAGACCAGCTCTTCTAAAACTTTTGGTGCACCAAAAGCTTCTCAAGCAGCCCAACAGGTCTCCATCCTGATTTCAAAAAGATGGAAGACAAGACCTGATGGATAAGCCCAACCACACAACTGTTGCCTCTAAACACGGAGATCCCCGGTTCCATCACAAGCAAAGATACACGACTGCTCTTTCACGAATAGCCCTCAACACCCATCCAATTTAGCAGCACTACCTTTGATGAGAACAGAGGTCCATTTGTCCATGCACGTCCCTACAGGCACCATGGCACGAAGGGTGGCATCAACAGCCCCGGCCTGAGATTTACAGACCCACCACCCAAGCTAGAACCCGGCACCCCAAAGTTATACTGCCCTCCAAACAACCACCCCACCCCAGGGCGAACAAGCAAGCCTTCAAGGAATTACTTCGTCCTCCCCTCCCCCTAAACCAACTCCAACCCCCCCAATCCTTCCTTTACTTCTTCAGCCCCGCCTTTCAATCCCTCCCCCGCCTCTCAAGACTTGCCACTCCTTCCACCCCCTCAACCTTTTACCCCGCCTCGCCTTCCCAAACACGCCAAGCACGCCTGCCGCCCCTTTCGCCCGGGACCCGTGTGTTCCAGCTCCCTCGCACCAGCCGAACGCGTTCACACGACCCTTCGGCAGGCCCACCCCCCTCTCTCGAGCTGTTCAGGGGGTACCTCCGCCTTACCAGCCCCATAACCTTATCCCGCCGCCTCCCCCCCCTCACTCACACGCGCAGGACGTCGACAGCAAGGCAACCCTCCCGCCTCTGCCTCCTACTCACAGCTCCCCTTTCCTGGGAGGCAGAGTGAACCCCCCTCGACCGGCGCGGTAGGAAGGAGTGCGGGGGGAAGCCCTCCCCGGCCCTGCTTTCCCTCAGAGGGCCGGGACTCACTCAAGTCGAGGGAAATTCCTGTGGAGACCCCCCTCAGAGAGCAACGCCGAGCCGCCCGCGAAGCCGGACCAGCCGCCTCTTCGGCGCAGCCCCGCCCTCTTTTCCTCTCAGCGCTCGCGCTCTCCCCTCCTCCCGCCTCAAAGGAGAAAACTTTATGGCCTCGGCAGGCGACAGGAACTGCCTCGCTCGAGCCACGCGCATGCGCCGACGGACTTCGCTTCCCCGCCGCCTGGGACAAAGCTTGCGGGGTGGAGTGGGGGCGGGAGGAGTTTGCGGCGGAAAAACTACAGGCCCCATAAAGGCGGTGCTCCCGAAGCAGGCTCCAGAAGGCTGGCTCTTCTTCGCGTGGCATGTTGGGATATGTAGTCTTTCGGCCGCCGCTGCTCGTCGCGGGAGTGCTTTGAAGGCGTTGCATCCTGGGATTTGTATTCCTCGCTCAGCTAGCTCGAGAAAGAAAACTGCATGTGTGGACCTGTCTGTCATGCATCCATAGCGGCAGTTGTGTTGTATTGTTAGTCGGTGACGGGAAAAGCGATTTATGTTACGTTTAGTTTGTACGTGACTTTTCCTTCTGTCTCGACTGAGCTCTCTATCCTGAAAACCAAAAGGAAGGAGGAAATGCGAACTCTTGTGTATTTTTTTCTTGAAATACATATATTTGCTGTAACTATTCTTGGGGTTTTTGATCGGTTTTAACTTTTTTAATCAGAAGAATTGAAGAGCATGGGTTTGTTTTTTTTTAGAATAGATAAAAGTTCCTAGAATAAAATATTTTCATTTTCCCATTCCTCTAGCATAGGCAGAAACACACTTAGTGAGCTGGATTCCTCACTGTGTCTCCTGGGGAAAAAAGGAAGCCTACATGGCCTTGGGCAAGATGCACAGTCCCAGACCCTCCCCCCCGAAGAAGGGAATAGTAAACCACTTTTGAGTGTACTGTACCTAGAAAATCCTGGAAAGGGACACTGTAAGTTGGAATCAACTTTGACTGGAATCAACTTTGACAGCACATAATTATTGTTATTTCACTACAGTTATACCAGGCAAATGAGGCTAGCGGTATAGTGGCAGTGGTGCCTCAACTTGAAATTTTCGTAAGTCGAAGCAAAAATTCCCGTAGGAATGCATTGAAAACTGATTAATCTGTTCCGGCTGTTTTTGGTTCTTATGTCGAGACGCCATTCGTACGTCGAAGCATTAGTTCCCATAGGAACTAATGCAAAGCCAGTTAATCCATACTCTATGACTAGGGGGAGAATTTATCTTCTTTTAACCTAAGATGAACTTAGGTTTAAAAGGGTGAGGGAGGGAGGGAACAGTCTAATTTTTACATTTAATTTTAATTTAATATTACAGTCTTCTACTGTACTTTTCACATTTTAAATCCACACTGCAAGACCCATCAGAGCACAGAAACATAACCCCCCTAGCCCTAACCCCCCGAGCTACAAATAACCCTGTATAGTATAGTAAATACAGTGTACTCACCCAGAACAGGCAGTCTCTCTGTTTTAAAAAAGAAAGTAAAAAATCCAAAAATCAAAAATTAACAAAAAGCCAAAAAATACAGTCCATACATTACAGTACTAGGCAGTCTGAAAACTCTCTATCCACTCTCGAATCGCTGGGACAAGTGAGGTAGCAGAGAAGCAGCCTCTTCACTGGCCAACGGTTAACAGAAAGTTCAAATTTTGCGCTTTCCCTGCCTCCCCCATGTTTTTTTCTGTCCGTACTCGAAGCTCCGGCCACAAGTTGAAGCAGAATTTTGCAGTAGGTAGCATGTCTCAATAACATCACAGAAGTGGGAAAGGCAATAATCGGGAAGGCAGAAGCAAAACACACTTGCAAGCACCTTTGTGCTGACTGGCTGAATCCTAGTGATGGCACCCCTGGGAATGGTTGGAGATGCATGCCCAGGCTTTAAAGATAGTTTGTGTTTAAAACTAAGACTTTCTCCTGTGTAGAATTTGTATCCCTACAAGGGTACCCAAAGAACTACAGCAATTACCTGACACTTCAGCTGATGTCCTGTGACCTGGCAACCCTAAGTAGAATAATGTGGGCAGCCTGAATGGCACAGGAGATACCAGGAAAGAGCCATCCAGTTGTCTTGTAAAAGGGAGGATTCTCTAGCCCTAAAGGAGAAGACCACACAGCTCTGAGTATTATGTTTCAGTAACCAGAAAAACAAACCTAATGATAGGCTGACACAAAGAGGGTACGCTTCCTGCTCTTTACCATGTTATTGTTGTTTTACTTTGTTGCCATGTAAAAGACAAAATGGGTGGTCTTTTCAGAGTGCCACTGAAGGAAAAATAAAATTACAGTACAACCAAATACACGGACGGCAGAGGAATATGTTAACTACATATTTACTATATGTTAACTCTGTGTGTGTGTGTGTGTGTGTGTGTGTGTGTGTGTGTGTTTGTTTGTTTGTTTATTTATTTTAATTTATATGCCGCCCACACTACTCAAGGGTCTCTGGGCGGCTTACAACATTTAAAATACAATAAAAATTCATAGCAATTAAAATACAATTAAAAATATATATAATTGCCATTTGACCCACAGCTAATATTATTTCAATTAAAAGCCTTCTGGAACAGGAAGGTTTTGACCTGGCGCCAAAATGTCATCAGTGTCAGTGCCAGACGAATCTCAGTCGGGAGGGCATTCCATAGTCTGGGGGCAGCTGCCAAAAAGGCCCTTTGTCTACAAGTCTTCCCTCTTACCTCCTTAAGGGACAGCTCTTTCAAAAGGGCCCCCTGGCTAGATCTTAACTGCCAGGTAGGTTCATATGGAAGGAGGCGGTCCTTCAGGTATCCAGGGCCCAAGCTGTTTAGGGCTTTATATGCCAAAACAAGCACTTTGAATTGGGCCCGGGCAGCAACTGGTAGCCAATGTAACTTATACAGAATCGGCTTGATATGTTCCATGGCGGCCGCACCACTCACCAGTCCATTATCAGGTCCAGATACGAGTTCAGCACAGAAACTGCCTCACCTGGATTGGTGGAAAATGAGAGGTAGAGCTGAGTATCGTCAGGATATTGCTGACTCCTCAGCCCAAACCTCCTGATGACCTGTCCCTACGGTTTCATGTAGATGTTAAACAGCATGGGGGACAGTATTGAGCCCTGAGGAACCCCATGACATAACCGCCATGGGGCAGAGCAACTGTCCCCCAGCACCACCCTCTGGACACGGTCAGCTATGAAGGAGTGGGACCACTGTAAAGCAGTGCCTCCAACTCCCAACCCAGCCAGACTATCCAGAAGGACACCATGGTCGATGGTGTCGAAAGCCGCTGAGAGGTCCAAGAGTATCAACAGGGTCACACTCCCGCTCTCTGTCTCCCGGCAAAGGTCATCGTACAGGGCGACCAAGGCAGTCTCCGTGCCAAAACCCGGTCTGAAACCCAATTGAAATGGATCCAGAAAATCCGTTTCATCCAGCAGCGCCAGGAGTTGCCAAGCCACAACCCGCTGTAACACTTTGACCAAATAAGGGAGGTTCGCTACTGGTCAGTAGTTAACCACCAGCCTTGGGTCCAGGTTAGGCTTTTTAAGGAGTGGTCGAATTACCGCCTCTTTCAAGGTGGTAGGGACCACTCCTTCTCTCAAAGAGGCATTCATAGCTCTTACTTATTTACTAGTTAGGTCCTGATATTCACAGAAAAATAGCCCATTCTGCTCTTAAAATGTATGGTAGTTTTATAGTAAAGCTTTAAACTTCACACATTTAATGTTCTTTTCTTGTATAACCATTATCAGTCTTTGGGGATGTGCTTTATTTTTTACCAGAACCCCAAGATCTGCCAGCTGGAACCTGACACAGAAGACATACAAAAAAACTGAAAAATTTGAGTTTTGATAGAGCTCACGCTTCTACACATGAACAAAAATCAATCCCTAGTTACCTCAAAGAACTTTGCTCTTTTCAGGAGTAAAATCTGAGAAGCAGAAGTGATTTTGTTGCTGCTACTGTTGAGCAACTGAGGCTCCTTCCTTATGGAGCATTTCTCCTCCTGACTTTTTTCCCCCAGTTGATGGCTGCAGATGTGCAGGCCCATCATCTATAAAGCATATGGTGAAGAATGGTGTGCTTGTCCTTATGCTGGCATGTTGCTTTGTATGTCATCTTTTATGTTATGTTATGATTGTATGAATATTAGAAATGCACAACACATGTGATCTTAGATCACAACAGAAGTACGTACACTAGTCGTAGCTACATTCTAACATTGTAACTATTGTATTTTTGCAAGGTTCCTAATGCAAGAGAAGGTGCCCTGATCCTCAGGATGTATTTCTGCCCGAGAAAGCTCAGAAATGTTTCACAAATCGTGTTGCCACAGTAGGTTGCTGGGCAAGGGAATTTGGCCTAGTCCAGAGATGGTGAACCTATGGCACGCATGCCACAGCTGGCGCGCAGACCCCTCTCTGCGGGAACACGAGCCATAAGTTGCCGGATCGCTGCTCCCCTCCCCCCCCGCAACCAAACCTGAGAAGGCGGCTGCAGCCGCAGTGCTGGTGCCCCAACAGGTGGCAGGCCAGGATCTGGAGCAGCTGGTGCTGGCGGCAGATCTGGAGTGGGGTCTTGAGGCACCTCCGTGCCTGGGATTCCCCCTTCTGCTGCCACTTCCACCACTGCCACTTCTGCTTCTGCCCACTGCCTGCTGGGTTTTTGTTTTGTTTTGTTTTGTTTTTTGCTTCAGTTTGGGCACTCGGGCCCCAAAAGGTTCACCGTCACTGGCCTAGTCGGTCTTGCTTGTTATACAGGCTAGTATCACAAGCAAGGCAATGTGGCAACAACATTTCTACAGTTGCTCTCATCTTTCAGCTGTACAGAAGTGTTAGGATGACTGAAATCCTTTTACAGATGTTGTCCTTTCTTATCTTTCTACCATCATGTCCCCTCTTTGACAATTACTATTCTGTATAGCTGCATTATCTGATAATATGATAGTCTTATGCAATGACCCAAGCAGTTCCAAAATCCAAGTTATCTAGCATGGCTCATGATTCTGTTGAAAAAAAATTATACATTGAAAACATATGCAATACAATGCTGGAAAAATGACTTGTTGGGCAACATTTCCCAGAATCCTTGTAATTTTTGCAAGTTGTCTGTAGCTATAG